CTCTTGTTCTCTGCCACCAACACTGTTCTGGCCCATGTGCCCAGCGCTTAGAATCCCTGCGGTGCCATTCTGCATGACCTCAGCTGGGCTATTTACAGACATGCACAGATGTTGTGCCAACGTGCCGAGGTTCAGGATGTGGGGATTAACTCATGCTCCTCGTTTTGGATGAGTCTCAAGTAACAGACCACTAGACTGTAGGGTTCAAATTCCTTCGCAGAGTGAATGTCGTTTATAATCTGAAATTCATTATTCGGCCTCTCTGGTTAAAGCAAATTACAGCTGAAGCCGAGCACCTGGCTTGGAATTCCATTAGTCTCAATTGAGGGACCGTTGAGAGGGAAGTACCCATCGGCAATGTGCAAAGCCACAGCCTTCATACATACACATGTTCAGGGCTCATGTTTGACCACGTGCCCTATGGGCTGTTCTAGCCAATGGTGTCAATGTACAGAACTAGCTTGTTAGAGAGAAACTGAACATAGATAGGGCAGTGCTTACTAGCACGTCCGCTAACATGCTACAGCCTGGCTGCGCAGCAGCCTGGACTCTGTGCTGTAGCTCTCAAAATACTTCTGCAGTGTCCATGACTATGCAGCCTGCACACTGGTTACAACACAGCAGTGCATAGCCTGCTCGTTTCAAACGCCGCCGGCTTCTACCAGTGTCTGTGGCCATCTCTTTTCAGTGCAATATGCTGGCCATATCTGTTTGCCATATGAATCTTAACAGCAGGTATCTTGAGCTAACCAGTGTATTTTAAGATTACATCTAATTGCAACAATGGAGAAAAGGACAGCAGTTCGATAGTTGTTAAATTTGCTCAGTGATTTGTCTGAATTAAGTCACTTTGAAATGTTGAGGTTCCAATACGTGTTTCAGGGGAATGTCACTGCAGCAATGAAGGGGTTAGGGCACATTATCCATCCTACACCACCTAGACTGGCGTGCAATGTCCTTGAATTCAGTGGGACTTTAGGTAAACCTCTTATATCATAGATCAGTCTCAGAACTTGTCCATCAGTTGTCTTTTCTCTTAGTCTCCCTTTGCTGCCTGCTCTGTGTGTAAAAACCCAGAGGCAGAAGGTGACTGTTCCCAGTAATTTTCTCTATGCTAAGTTCAAAAACTGCTGAGGCAAACTAACTAGAACTCAGTCCTGGTATGCACCCTTCAGAGACACAAAACAGGGAAGGACCCCCAACAATGGGGGGCGGGGGGAGAGGAGAGTGGCCAACAAATCACCCAAAAAGCCATAGAGTGCAAATAAAGAAAGGGCAAAGATCAAGGGGAGGATGAAAGCAAGTGCAGGAATAGAAGGGGCCTGGTGTCCCGTGTTGCTTTTCCCACTAAACCTACTGCAAGGTGCCTGCTCTTGCTGCTGTTGGTGTGTAGCATTCCCGCATAAGTCAAAATAGGAGACTGGATCATTAGCAGTATTTAAAATGCTAAATTCCTACCCAAGGGCAATGTCCTATCCCGTATGTATAGGATTCCTATGAATAGTCTCAGTGTAGTTTATGGTCCCAATTGTGTAGCTCTGCCACACAAATCCTAACCTGGTCCTCACCACACGAGTGCTCCCCCCCCCCCCCCAGTGTAACAACCAGCACCCTCTTCAAAACTCAGCTAAGTGCAGTCTTCAGACCTGCCACCACGGTGCTGTGAATGTGCACATGCAACCCGAGTGTAACATTAGTTGTAACTTATTGTGTCTATTGGGCCAGTTTCTCTGCTTTGGTTCCAGCTGACTTGCACTGTCTCAATAGCACAGAACCGCTTGAAAGCGCCCCCGAAGGATCAGTAGAGATTGGCCCCGATATAGGGGAGGTAGTTGCCGTTGCCGGTTCTATACCACTCACTGCCTGGGGACATGCCAGAGGGGAGGGCTGAGGAGAGCCTATGGGATCACTGCAACCAGCATAACCCAAAGCATCCTAAGGACTTTCCTAAATTACGCTGAAGGTCATTTTGGTCCCCATCTGGCCCAAGCTCAGGGGTGCAGAAAGGTGGTTTGGAGCTGCTTTTTCCCAGCTCTCATCACGCCTATTGTCTAAACTTTTCATTGTTCTTGGTCCCTTAATTTCACTTTCAGAAATTCCATTTTAGCTACTCCTTTGTCAGCTCTTTAAATGGAGGCTCTTTATTCTGACAGCAGAAAGGTGATTTAACAAATTAAAATACTTTCTATAACCCAGAAAATAATGAAGTGAATAAATAGTGCTCCTGGCATAGACCTGGTAGGTCAGTGTCCCACCCCTGGTTACTAGCACTGTACTTGGGCTATTACTGTTGGTGCAGCTGTCTTGACACGAGAGCGCTTGGCTTGTGGGAGTCCAGTGGCAGAGGATGTGCTTCAAAACTCAACACTCCTCGCTTTGCTCTTAAAAATTGAAGGCTTTTTCTTCCTTGCTAAGCCAATAATTCAGCTTGTTGGAAACTAACTGGCTTTGTTACTGAGCTTGGCCACCACCACCTAGGTCACACTTGTAGAAAGGTGCCCATCACCACCACGAGAATCTGAATGCTTTTGCATTCCCACATGTGCCCTATACCCTGGTACTGCCTGCACTCCTACTTTTGTATGACATGCGCACAAGGGGTGTGACATTGCTGTTACAAACCGAGTCCATATGTCCTCATGCATAGAATACACAACTCCTAGAACAGCTGTTCAGAGTTATTACCAGAACAGTGTAATTCCTTGCCAGGAATAGCCATCCCACCCAAAATCTTCCTGCCAGGGGCTGGAGCAGCACTGACTGAAGGGGAGACACAAACTCTTGTGTCTTAAGGAGGTGTTGTCAGGGTTTTAATTAAGCTGAGTTAATAAAATTATAAACCGTAAGTGCACGTAACTGTTTTGACTGTGCAAACGGTTTTGTTCCCAAGACCAGTAGCTCTGTCTTTGGTTTTCCATTCTGTCATGTCCTTTTCCCGCTCTCTCACCAAGGGCGGCTCAGAACAGGAAAACAGCATCCACTGTCTGAGTTTTCATCTCCAGAAACAAATAACCCTTCCTTCCCCAAATAGACTGTTTGTTTGCCACAGAGACTCGAACTTGGATGGATTCCCTCTTTACAGTACTCTTAGTAGGGAGCCTGGATTTGGCCTGTCCAGCAAATGCCACCAGCACCCCACTTTCTGATGGCTTGTTTAAAGCTGGGGTTCTCAACCTTTTTCTTTCTGAGTCTCCCCCGCCCCCCACATGCTATAAAAACTACAGCCCACCTGTGCCATAACAACTGTTTCTCTGCATATAAAAGCCAGGGCCAGCATTGGAGGGGGGGGGGGAGGGAGCAGGGCAATTGCTTGGGGCCCCATACCACAGGCTTCAGGTTCAGCCCCGGGTGACAGGGCTTCAGCTTTCTGCCCTGAGCTCCAGTGAGTCTGATGGTGGCCCTGTTTGGTGGACCCCCTGAAACCTGCTGGAGGGGGCCTTGGACCCCTGGTTGAGAACTGCTGGTTTAAAGGGTCTCCCTCCCACTCCTCCTTATGATCTAACTTTCATCATTCACATAGGACAGGGAGGTGCAGCCAGATTCTTCTTTTCTAATTTCCATGGCAGTAGTCATGGTTACAGACTGTTTATGCAAATAACCAATATTTCTCTCTCCCTCCCCACACCAATCACTGACCATTAAAGAGCTGATGACTTGGCTTGTTTGGTGTTCTTTGGCTTTATCCGCCATTGGAAATCCTGGTTTCTTTCCCATGTGTTCTCTGGAGTCTGTTTGCTGGAGGGTGGAGTCATTTAACACAGTTTAACTTTTCAGCTCTGCCCATGTCATTTGATAGAAAAAGTAGAGGCAATCAAGTTGCGTATTCTGGGTTTATGGTGAAATGTAATTCTCAATGTTTTATGAGGAAATACTCCAGTTGCACTAACAGGTTCTGTCTGTATAACCAAGGTCAACTTCCATCTTCTCTCCTGCATCATGTTAGTTCACTGTATTCAGGAAGTGCTATTTGCTAGAAGGCAAACAGTTCAAGATCCCTCCCCTCCCCGCTGGGAATATGGCTGTAGGCACAGATATCATCCCAAATAATCTCGACTGGTAATCAATAGGCTTTGTACTGGTATAACTATATATACACGAGGCTTTTACCAATATACACCTCTGTTAGCAAAAAATCGTACCCCTTACCAATAGAAACAACGAGGAGTCCAGTGGCACCTTAAAGACTAACAGATTTATTTGGGCATCAGCTTTCATGGGTAAAAACTGCATCTGAAGAAGTGGTTTTTTTTTACCCACAAAAGCTCATGCCCAAATAAATCTGTTCGCCTTTAAGGTGCCACCAGACTCCTCGTTAGTCTGTATCCACAAAAACAACACAGCTACCCCTCTGAAACTTACCTATGGAGTTATGTCAGTAAACTTAAAAGAGTAGGACAGCCCTTAGTGGCTCCAGTCACCACAGTGGAGGAAACACTATAGGAGAGCAAGCTCGATTCTCTTCTGATTCCTACATCATCAGCAAGGCCGAGAATTCTACCTGCAGAATCGTATTGGTGGTAAATGCAGAAGCTGACGAACGTAGCTTGGTTTTCAGATTCCAGGTGGAGCCTGCAGGACTGATAGTAAAACTATTCACTTGCAATCTGAGCTCTGTAGAAACTACGGAGGATGGGTCCATGTTTCCCTCCTCAGTGCCGCTTGTAGAACAATTTTTAAAGCAAACCGTCCTTTAAGCTGGTGTCTAGGGTACGGTTGTGACTGTGATAGGAAGTGAAAAATATTCTATAGCCCCCTCATTCCACAGGACACCAAAGCAGTTAAACTATAGAGATGAGGGCGTCAGTCAGCCAGTCTGCAGCCTTCTGCATAACTTACAAACGACACACTTAGCAGTAGTGATCACCAGCATGTCCTTGGGAGGGCGGCTCTGGCTAGACTCATCAGGACTTTCCGCTGCATTTAAAACATCACTGTCCTTACCGTTGCTAACCTCTTGCTGTGTCTGCCATTACCATGCCTCTTTCTTTCTTTTTTGTAAGGTGAGAGAATCTTGGGCTATGCTGAGGAGCCCTGTTATCTCTGGTTCGTCATGGAGTTCTGTGAAGGGGGAGATCTGAATCAGTACGTGCTCTCGCGGCGACCGGACCCAGCCACTAACAAGAGTTTCATGCTACAGCTAACCAGCGCAATCGCCTTCCTGCACAAGAACCATATTGTGCACAGGGACCTGAAGCCAGACAACATTTTGATCACCGAGAAGTCTGGCACCCCGGTTCTCAAGGTGGCAGACTTCGGACTCAGCAAGGTCTGTGCTGGCCTGACGGCTCGGGGCAAGGAAGGTGGGAATGATAACAAAAATGTGAATGTGAACAAGTACTGGCTGTCTTCAGCCTGCGGCTCTGACTTCTACATGGCCCCTGAGGTCTGGGAGGGACACTACACAGCCAAGGCAGACATCTTTGCCCTGGGCATCATCATCTGGGCCATGATTGAGAGGATAACTTTCATCGATGCAGAGACCAAGAAGGAGCTACTGGGGACCTACATCAAGCAGGGCACAGAGATTGTGCCCGTTGGGGAAGCACTGCTAGAAAACCCAAAGATGGAGTTGCATATCCCCCAGAAACGCAGGACTTCCATGTCTGAGGGAATCAAGCAACTCTTGAAAGACATGTTAGCTGCTAACCCACAGGATCGACCTGATGCCTTTGAGCTTGAAACCAGAATGGACCAGGTTACATGTGCTGCTTAAATTCAGGGCAAAGCATTAGTGCATTTTGCAATTGGGTAAGTGTTCTGCAGTTTTTCTGCAACTCTTTTCTTCACCTATTGCACCATCCCACTTATTGGCTGTACTGTGTAATGGCACAGTGGAGCCTTTTATATTCTTAGAGCTATTTATCCACTGACTCATGTAAGAACTACTTCCTGAGGCTTTCATCCACCTTTATTTAAACCAAAAAAATCATAAAAAGGAGATGGAAAACAGAACTAGCAGCAGCCCTGTCTAGTGTTCTCCAAACCCTGTGTTGGAAACATGTCTAACACAAGTCTCAGTTGCCTGAGAGGACCCCTACCTCACTCACTCACTGACCGAGCTGGCTAGTGTGTGGTGAGGCAAGGGACCGCTCAAACAACTGGGACAGACGCTTTCCTGCGGGCTCATTCTCTGCACACTGACCAACAAGAGGGAGGGATCCTGCAGGGAAAGAATAGTATGCTCTCATGATCCTTGTATCATGTGTACACAGGAAGGGACAGAAGGCTTCACTGGCAGCCTTGTCGATAACTAGAGTGCTTCCCTTTGCAGCCTTAATGTTCTCTTAATTGTGGTTTTTGCATGTAATATAGCAATTTTCTTCTGTTTATACTCAAATGAAGCTCATCACTGTGCTCAGAGGCCACTTGAGGTGACCTACAGAGGCCTTCCCATGATAAGGTGCCATATTCCACTCACTAGCTACCTTTTGGATGCAATACAGTTTTGCTCAGCTACTTCATCCTCCTTTCCACATCAAAGGACCTCCTCTACTTAATGGTTGCAATCAGGCAGAGCCTAGTTTAGGCAAAGCTGGAACAGTGGACATCAGATTTCCTGGGCTCTGCGTACCCATTCCCATCCCAATATAATGTACTGGACTGATAACACCCCTGTTGAATTTGAAGAGGTAAAACAGCTGTACAAACTGCTTAGGAATACACTGGGCAAAGTGACTGACAGGTGAGTTTTCAACATGCTCAATCCTGCTTCACCTAGAAGGAATGTAATTGGTCTTGTTTCATTTTTACTTCCTAGTACTAAATAAGGGAGTTCCTTCGAGTGTGAAATATACTTGTGCAGTGCCAGGCACGTGTTCCTGTATTTGGCACAGTTGGGTTTACAGAATTGTTGTATTTTAACAGATTGCTCCCAGCTCAGTTTAAATGGAACCACTTTCCTTCTAGGCTCAGTTCCCTAAACCACATCTAGGAACTCCAAAATTCAAGCAGGAAGCGAAGCTCTGATCATTTGCTTTTGCCACTGCTGTATTCAGAACCTAAAGGACTCAGACTAGACTTTTGGCTACTGATCAGAGCTGTAGAACTAGGGAATGGGGTTACATTGAGCTGGTGTCCTCGGTAACTAGGAAGTATTTATTTGTGGCAAAGCCACTGAGAAACAAAAGCAGTTATTAGGGACTCCCCCAGCCAAAGAACCAGGATGAAACTGGAAAATTGCAGATCTGGAAGATGAAAGTAAAACTTGCTTTGGAGAACCTTGGTCTTTCAAAAGCTCCTGCCGTGCTCTCTGTATAATGCTGATCAGGAGAGATCTGTGACACTTCATTAGTGGGAAAATGACTAAACTGGAACTTAGCCCACCTGTTCTGCTTGCTGTGGTCAGGAGACTGAGGAGTTCATACTCAAATTAAATATTAAAGGAAATTACAAATTGGAGCTGCCTTGGCACATGTCACTATTGTGCAACATGTGGTAAGATCAACCCGTAGACTAGAGACAGGCCTCTGCAGTAATATGCATGTACAACAGGATGAATTAAGGACACTTTGGCAGCCTTGGCTTCTAATTTCCTCGCTGCTGTTGCTTTGCCTTGACCTGAAGTGAGCATTCCAGAGATTATGTAATAAAGATGTGCTCTCCCTCCCCTTTCTCTAGACACCAGTTTGGAATGTGCCCAGACAAGTAGGTTACTTGGGCCATTTCTTACCAGTGTCAATCAATTGGCAGCTTGTTTTCTCAGCTGAGGAGCTACTGTGATAAACTTTTTTTTTGTAAGAATCTGACTTTACCCAGGAAAGCAAAGACACCCTTAGTTGAGACTTTACTCTAGATACTTGCCCTCTAGTACCATGTATGTGATAAAAAGTACATCACAGTGAGAGACTGAATGGTGGGGCTGCTTTAGTGCCCAGGATGGTGGATCATTGGCTATGTATAATGCAGGTTCCTGTTGGGGTTGAGGTAGGGGGTTAAGAATGAATGAGCAGAATTGTGAACCCTTGAAATGGACTTCAGTGATAACTGATCCTTCCCTGTTCTGGTATGACTGGATGCTACTAGAATAGCATACTTCACCGCTTGGTTTTAAGGGAAGAGGTGGATGTTTTCCTCCCGTGGGGGTTGGGAATATGCTATTTTTAAAGCACCTGGCATCATGCATCTCCCAAGTGGTCCATGTTTTGCCTCTGCTGTTGCCATCTGTGATCACTCATGCTCTGCTAACATAATGCTGCTGAGTTATGTAACAACCCAGTGCCCTCTGGGGAAAATCCATTCTGCACATATCTGCAGAATAGTAAATGCAGGGATAATAAACACAGAGAGGACAGTCCTACCCTGCAGCTGTTTACATAAAACCCTAGCTGCCTGTTCAGAGTCCCCCCTTCCCTATCCATGGAGGGAGCCAGCAATTCGTCTTCACCAAATGTTTCCTTTAGTGACCTAGCTGCAGTGGAGGTGGTTACCACTCATGTAACTACATTGCATGTGGCATAGTGGCCATGCTTTGCTTGTCCCCAGTAGCTGAGCGCCGGCAATATGTTCGTTGTACTTGACGCATCATGTTGCACGAGGGGGAATAATTTCTCTGGTTCCTTCACTGTGCAGCAGTGCTCTTACATGCATGGCTTTTTAAACAGCATTCACACCTTCAAATCCACAACAGGTCCCTTTCGTTGTTGCTGAGCTTTAGTGTAACATTCCCAACGCTTAAGTCTGAAACTGCCTGAGAAGCTTAGAATGAACAAATCAGTGCCTGAGGTCAGCATTAATGCCCCAGCAGTTGAGCATTTAACCACAAGTCAGTTTCCAAAGCAAGTGTAACTTTGACCCTTATGAACCTTGTATCTTGAATTGCGATATGTGCCATTCAGAACAAGGCCTCTCATTTCTGTTTGAGGAGTTAAATGGCAAGAGACTTCAGACTTTAACTAAAGTTCATGTCCTAGCTTAGACAGCACGCAATGCTGCCAGCCAGAGCTTGCCCATTCTTGGTATTGCACTGGCCACGTCTGGCTTCTCAATGTCCAAGGGGGCTCATGTCTCTACACTTATGCTACGGATATTGCAGATCTGCCACACAGCAGATTTTATACTTAACCAATATTTATGGTTTCCTGCTGTTCTGCTGAAGCCAGTCAGAACCAATGGGCTGGAGACAGTGAAGGTGATCTTCCTACTGGTTTTACCAGCCTGGCTGAGGATCCCAGAGCTGTCTGTCCCATGTGGTTACTCAGACTGTCCTAGTTGTTGCTCCTGACTCCACACAGCCTGAGACTTACTCTGTAAGAGTAGAAGGCATTCCCTGCAATGTTTGTGTGCATATTTCACTGAAATAAAAGGAATATTTTTTTCTCCTCCTCATTTGAGTAGACACAAGGGGTAAGACTTTCACAGGATCCCAGCTTCTGGAGGGTGCTGTTACTGTTACCCAAGATCTTATGCACAATTTATACAACCTTTCCCTTTCTAGGTATGCGATACAGAAGTCATTCTAGTACAACCAGAAACTGAGCTGTTTGATCCTGGTGGGTGACCTCAGGTTAATCCCTTGATTCCTGTAGGTGTTGAGCATTGTTACTGCACCTGCATTACACATTAGCAAGTACTTAACCTCTCCATGCCTCAAGCGGGAGGCTGACTGTAAGCATGAAAGTGGTTGGATAATATTACTTGTAAGTAACCATCAGCATTAATGTGGATTCCATCTTGTGGGTCTGATTCTGCCCTTGTAATTTTGCCATGTTCCTTGGTGCAGAGCAGCCCTAAAGGGGCAGAAGCAGCCCAGCCAGTTCCTTTGTGGCTAGAGACACACAGGATTTCCTTCCTTGTTCACTCTGCAGTTATCGTCCTGTTCTGTATTCCGGTGAAAGCACGCACTGCTTGATCAGACAGTGGCATCAGTTCCCCCTTTTCCTAGCTGTGCTCTGTGTTCTAAGGTTGTGGCCACTGTGGCATATATACGCGGTGGGCTTCCCTCTCCTGGTGTTAACTGGGGCAGCAAACCACCCCTTATGGTTACAGGTTAGGCAAGTTATTTATATTTGGACATCAATTTAGTATTGGACATAGTTAAATATTTATACAGCCAGGAACCTAGGGCACACTGGCGGGGATGAGTTGTCTAGAGACCTTACTCTGCTCAAGTGAGTGATGGTGTGGGGACGAGCACACAAAAGTAAGATCTCATAGATTTTGGTTTGTTTCTCATCACAGTGGTTCCAGTAACCTTAACTATAGAAATAAGATGAGTAAAGGCAAGATCTCCCCTGTGCTGTTCTGATAACTGAGACTTTGGTCCTCCTAGAGTGATCTTGCATAACTACCTTCCAGAAGCTATAAACATCCTGATTAATGCTCTCCTAAAACTTCTTCAAGAGCTGCTCTTCTTTGAGAATGGAAAGTGTTATTTTAGAACAGTTGAAGTGTGGTCGGAGGGCTGTACAGAGCTGCCAGCACTGGGTATTACACAACTGCCACATGTCCAGAAAGTTTAAGGTTGCCAGGTAGGGCCATGAGACCTTCCAGAAGGGGGAGAGTGGCTAAACTTAAACCTCTGGGAACAGGACATATAGAGCTAAAAAACACCCCCCTACAATCTTACCCTTGCCCTCTGAGTGATGCCGTAATATTCCCGTAACACACCTGCTGGTGCAGCTAGTGTAGGACACACCACGTGAACACTATAGGACTAAGTCTAACACCTTCCCTGTGCTATAGCAAAACTAGCGTTTAGCTGAGATGTACTGAACAAGAGCTGCCTACACCACAGTCACTGTGCCTGCTCC